CCACATTTTTTAGGATATATATTAGCTCTGCTAGAATTGAACTCAAATATTAAAGCACTGGAAAGATCTACAACAGAAACAAAAGCAAAATCACCAAACCTTTCCTAGGCTTGTCTGATGGGATTAAAAAAAGAAGAAGAAAGAAAGAAAAAGCAAAACAGAAAACAAAAACAAAAACCACACTTCACTTATTTAATTCTTCCGTTTTGAGACTAGTTGAGAAATACAATTTACTTCCCTAAAATCAAGAAAAGTTAAGCTCATTAGGACCCAAGCTCTAGAAAAAAGTACCAGGGGGAACTGTTTGACTAACAAATATTTTTTTTCAATTTAATAATTTGCATACCTCAGTTTTCCCCCGGCCCTCACTAAGTTCCTTAGGGGATAAAACAGTCTTACTGAAGGAAGTGTTGTGTTAGTGAGGTTCAGGAGCACTTTAAATTTTTAAAATAGTATCAAATTTAATAAAATATGATATGCTTTATTTTCAGTTTCAGTAAAAAAACAATTGCTAAATAATCCTATTGAGTATTTCTTGTTCATATAATCAATAACTCACTGCATTATAGATGAATTAACCTGAAATAATTAAGGTTAAATGAAAATGTCTGGAGAGGCACAAATACAGCAGAATTAAATAGACAAAAGCAGATTGTCACCACCTTTTGTTCTTTCTTATCTGTGGACCTAATAAGCATACTTTTTGCTTTAGTTTAGATTAGTCCAATTGACGGCAGCTCACATTTTTCACATTATTTTTTTGTTCTAATGTGAAACATGGCAAGAGCAGATTTTGAGGTCTGTCTTAAAATACAGGCTGACTCATTTGCATAGAGCTGTTGTGCAGAAGGTTTTATTGGGGATAAAAGATGTGTTGCTGAGGTTGTCTATCACCTTCAGTTTATTTGAAAAAAATATATAAATGAGCGCAAGGAGGCATTAAAACTGTCCACTGACTTTCTTCTATTTTTTCCCCAAAGGTGCTTTGTTCACATTATCGTGGCAGCTTTGTGCAAAATAAGACTTGATTTGAGAGGGTTTAAGGCTAGAGGTCTCTGGTATACCCTGCCCTGCCACCAACTTTTGTCCCCGGAATGGCCTCAGTTTCAGACATGTCCCAGAGGCTCAGAGCATGTGCTCAGAAACTGACATGGGATATCAGAATCAATTAGCCCCTCTAGGAATTAAAAGCAAGCAGTTGAATGCCTGTTAGCAATGATTAACTTTAAGAAATATTAGCAATTCTGGGCAGATCCCTTTCCTTTCTGGAAGAGTGCTCTAGGCAGGCAGCATTCCCAGGAATGTTGGTTTCCAGCTATGCAGACACTCTCTTGGATATAAAATTCTGCAGGGGTCTTTGCTGTGCTTTTGATTTGGGAATGAATATTTTTCTTATGTATGAAACTTAGTTCTTCCTAGAAGGGTTTTCAGAGATCTATATGCCCTTTTAGCTGCTACCTAAACCCTTGGCTTTTTTTTTTTTAATACTTTCTCAGTTATAAATTGAGTACACAGATGATCTTTATTGAGTTGTTTGAGGACCAAAATTGATTGAAATTTGCTATATAAAATGCTGATCTTAATGTCAAGCTCATGTAAGCTCTGCTATATATGTTTTCTTCTCCAATTTTCTTTCTTTATAAATTTTAGCCTTAAATTTGTCCTTACATCTCTAGTTAAGTTTATAAAAACAAATGGGCAGAGATATTTATACTAGTAACTCTTTACTTCTCGGTTCTCACCTGTATGCAATAATGACATCAAAACAAATTGTCTTTGCTGTTGTCTGCTTAGGGGTTTGAGTTTGATTTTGTTTATTATTTTTTTTTAAGCGGCAATTATCTGAAATAGAGTTGGAAAAGCCTGTAGTTTGGGACAGCAGTGGGGAAATGTTGCGTACTTTGTCAAATATTTTTGTTATAGCGTGGAATTATCCTCTTGAAGGTGTATTTTCTCTCTTGTTATCAACTGAAGCTAGATCTCTTGCCTTCACTAATGTTGGAGTCTTGGGAAACGTTAACAGAACTAGTGGGGGGAGAAATTCCATTGAGGATGGAATCTAGGCTCTGTGAAGATATGGAACATTATGGGCACTCAACAGATGTTAATAAATACCTCTTTCTATTGTTGGGACAAAGTGGGGTTGATTTGGGTGTGAATTGTAATGGTTAGTGAAAGGACCTTGTACTTAAAAAGGGTGTGTTTTAAGGAGAAGAGGAATCTGGATATTGAGCAAAGTAGCATTGTTTTTTCATATCAAGTCATTCTGTTTTTAAGGACTGTCATCCCCCTAAAATTGTCAGCTCCCTTGTGTCCATGTCATGTGCCTTCTTGGCAGGCCTTGCAATACGTTGCTGTGGACACAGTAAAATTTCAATAGGTCCTTGTTGATTGAAACCAAACATTTGGAAATCTTAGAGGCAAAGTTGATGAAGAGGCGTGAGGAGGGCTGCAGGGAGAGAGGAAGAGAAAAAACAGTCAAGGCAGAGAGAGAGAATTAAATATAGAGACCGCCTGGGAAGCCAGAAAAAAGCAAGGTTGGTGAGCAACTAACAATTTATGTTCTCCTGAGAAAAGAAAAAAAAAAAACTGGACAGGAGAGAATTTTTAATCCGAAGAGCTAATTAACCAAATTATAAGACCTCAATAATATCCCTCTCGTTAGAGTTGTAATTTTGAGACTTAACAACAACAACAAAAAATGGTGGAATTTACTCTAATTCATCCCAAGAATCTTTTTAAACTTTGGATTGTACAGTAGTAGAATTTTGAGGGGAAAATGCAGTAGGCTGTAGTTTATAAGTCATTTCAGTGTTTTGACTCCTAACTAACCCTCTTTGTGATGATGAAGGGGAAAAAAAGTATATAAAACCACCTGTGGTTTCAGTGAATGTGCTGGTTTGATTAAGAAAAAGTGGAATTAGGTGGCAAAAAAGACGAAGAAGAAAACTCCAACAACACAATGTGAGCAGGTTAAAATAGCAAAAACAATACAAAATGTTCCAATGTAAAGAACGTCTCCAAAATGTGTGAACATGATTTTAAAAATATGTATATATTTATCAATATCCTATATATAAAATATATATTTTATAAATATATAAATTATATTATAAATATATACATAATGGATACCTCGCATTCAATGAACACAATTAAAAGTATCAGAGAAAACTCACCACAGGGATCACCTGATAATAATTAATAAACATCAACTCTTCTTGGTCAAGTGACCAGTATTATTTCACAGTTGACTGTGTTGAGGGTTGAGCCAGTGACCTTTGCCGTGAATTTTAATAATTTACTGTAGTTTTACATTAAATCGGAATATAATTGGGAAGAAAATTAGTGTTTCTTTGTGGGGAGTGCAGAGTAATGCCACTAATTGCATGTATAAAAGCCTTCCCGAGGTTGTATTTTCCTGTTCTTTCTTGATTTAGAAAATTAAAACTACAGTAATTTTCCACTATTTGTAGGAGGGAAAAATGTGCCAGTGAAATGTATTCAGCTAACTTAAAATGTCAAAGCTCTGGGCCATCTTTTTACGTCCAGTAATGACAAACTGTCAATTTCGTCACATGATTCAGGAATTTGCTGGCAACTTGTTGCAGATATCAGAGTCGAAAAATACCTTATAACACATGTGGTCTGAAAGAAGAAACTGATTTTTGTTTGTTTGATTTTCCTTCCTTTCACTTTAATATTTGAGCAACTCCACATCTAAAATGTGTTAGAGAGCAAATCACCATTTCTTTCTTCTTTAGAAAGAGATGGACAAGAGAGAACACATTAAATTAACCTTAGTAGAACAGGAGATTAAATTAATAGTGCTTTAAAATTATTTTTAGATACCTGGGGGATTTTTTTCAGAGAAGTTATTATCAAGGAAAAGAATTGAGCTGATTTTAAAAGTATATTGGGTTTAAAATTCTATTAAAAACATATGTAATCACAAATATATATACCATGGGTGCCTCTCCCTGGAACTTGGAAGGGTTAAATCAGACCACTGTGGTGTTATGGGAAATGTTTTTCGGTGATATCTAGTACCTTGAGTTTGTTATGTATTCAATATGTATGTCATCTTAAAACAGTGCACCTGCATTAGCCTTCATTGTCTCGGGGTAGAAGCTGAGAAATAAGAAAAAAAAATTTAAAAGCTCCAGAAATGAACATTTCTGCTAATAGCGTGTCAGTATTTTTCCCTTACTCCACGGACATTCTTGGTCTCAAATGCAAACTGCACAACCCAGGCACTAGGGTTGGAATCCAGTGTTTATTCAAAAAGACACCCTAAGGTAGCTGGAGTGGAAACGCTACATGTATGAAAAAAGGCAGCCAGGAAACTCAGCTGATCTAGACACAGCAGCAGCAACTGTATTTACTAACACTTGTTTTCTGGGAGCCTATGAGAGAAATGGAAATAATTAGAGAACCTGAAAGGGTGGTATTTTCTTCCTTGTTTTCCTTATAAGGAGCAAAGCACATTGCAGTAACACTTCAGGAGCTGGTGTTCCCTCCTGCCACGGGAATAGCCGATTCCTCGGTAGAGGAGTTTGTTTATACCTTAACAAATACAGACTTTTGTTGATTAAACAGGAAAAAAAAAAAATCGCTTGCCCCATTCTCTGCTTTCAAACACTTCCCCCAATTAGAAAATGTCTCATAAAAATGCATCATGTGATAAGCTCTTGCTTTAGTCCCAAACCGAGCTAGGGTCCACTGGAGGTCTTCGAATTTGAATCCTTAGGGAGTGCACGTTTTAGCGAAGAGTATAGTTACTCTGTCCTGAAACAGGCAGCTTTGCCACTTGCTTGTTTTGGAAGGAAAATAAATTAAAAAAAGATTGCAGGGGATTTTAGTTATTATATGGCCAGGGCTCCGTTTTGAGTCTGTGGCATTCAAAGCTGGCTTTAATCACAGCATGATGCTTGAAGCCTCCAAAAAGTCCAAGTGTTTCCTTTCTTTCTTTCTTCTTTCCGTTTTTTTTTTTTTTTAAACGTTACTTCACTGAGGCAGAGGGCTGCCTTTGAGTGACGTCACGAGTTTGAGCAGCAAGCTGCAAGGAGAAGGGAGGCTGGGTGAGTGACAGCCCAGCCTACTTTTTAATAGCTTTGTCATGTGACTGGGGACTGTAGTAAGACAGGTGCCTTCAGTTCACTCTCAGTAAGGGGCTGGTTGCCTGCATGAGTGTGTGCTCTGTGTCACTGTGGATTGGAGTTGAAAAAGCTTGACTGGCGTCATTCAGGAGCTGGATGGCGTGGGACATGTGCAACCAGGACTCTGTATGGAGTGACATCGAGGTGAGCTGGGGCTGGGCTGGGCATTGCAGGAAGGACTGGAGAGCTTCCCTCCCTTCCGATGCACTGATTCCTGTAAGGGGGGAAGGGCTTGGACAAGGAGAGGAGGCAGAAAAGTAGCCCGGGCAGGAGCTTTTGGAAGGGAATCTCAATCTTATCTTAACTCCAATAAGTTTGCTATTTTAAGGTGGCTCTGAGATCCCTTGAGCAAATCAAAGCTTAGCTGCTGTCACCCATATCTGTTGCAGTTGGAAACTCTTTCCATGTGCCTTTGGCTCTGTTTCTACTCATATGCAATATTTATGCTCTAAGATATTGATATGAATCAGAAGCTGAAGTCTTTCCAGTGGTGTTTAGTGGCCCGGTTGGAAAAATGCCATTTCTATTTATAATAAGTTGAAGATAAAAATATTAAAATGGATGTGCTCAAATATAGTCAGTTTTGACTCTAGTCCGGATTTTTTTTTTTTTTCCCTCTCTGTTCATCAGACAGAGAACTCACAAAATCCTAAATAATCCTGCTAGGCTATTTTAGATTGCTTTCCCCACAGCACACAAAACAACGAAGCTGATTCCCTTAAAACACCTATATGTGGTGGAAAGATTTGGTCAGCAAATAAAAAATACATCTCTGCCTTACGATGCAAGGTTTTCCATTAGTGTCGGTGGCAGGGAAGCCAATGGTTAAATCTCTCTGTACCACGGAGAGCTGCCTGAAGCCGGAGAGAGGAGTTTATGCAGGGCTGTGTGTGGGGCTGCTCGCTGCTTGTGTAAAAATAGACGGCAATACATCAATTCCACAGTCTCTGCTGGCCACAATTCATACAGGGGGAGAAAAGCAAGCCGTTTCCTCATAATCTCTGGAGCCTCCAGTGACTAACGGGGGGACGGAGGACCGCGGCGTGTTTGCATTCAGCACAATGGAATGTTCTCGGAAAGTTTGGGCAACTTGGGGAAAGAAGCTAAACTTTCTGTGGACCGTGATGAGCTGGAACCCAGTTGCATTGCACGGGGGATCGGAGCAGCTAACAATGAGTCTGGCAGAGAGAGGGCTGCCAGTGCTTCCTCTGGGTAGCTGGGGGCACGTAGGGTGAGGGGGAGGATCAAGTGCCACACGTGATTTGGTTAAATAAGATGTCCATGTGGTGCAGCGATACACATCTAAAGTGCAAATAATTTGGCCGGGGCTGCCTGCGAACGCATTTCTCCTCTCTAGTGAGCCATGCCCTGCGTTCTTAACTCTTTACCGGATTTGCACAAGTGGGCTCGGCTTGCCCTCTCCTGCCCTGGCAGATGGTCCTTGCGGATCCTGCTTGTCCTTATCTTGTCGTGGTTTCTTGGTAAGGTGGGAGAGATCTGGGTGATTCGTATGTCCTGTCGCTCTTCTGAGTCAGGGTTATAAGTGGCTTCAAAGTCCTCATTGTCTTGGAGTAGCCGGAGTGTCCTGTGGCTGGTTGTCTGGCTGCCAGTGTGGGGGCTCAGCTGCTATAGTTTCATTTTTCCATCTTGTCTTATTCCTGATGCTGTTGGGAGTTGATATGGAAATATGGAGGATTTGTTTTAATCACTGGGATTCCTGCAGTCATTTTCAAGGAAGCGTCAGAGCTAATTTAGAACAGGGGCCCTTTTATGTTTTTCCGAAGGAGGTGAGTTCCTGGGCTAAGTGTCCAGCGGTGGATTGAGTTGTCGGGCGGCTGAGACTGGCCAGTCACCTCTCTGTTGCACGGTAGACAGCAAGCTGCTAGAAGCCTTGCCTTCGCGGTGGCCGCTCTGGGAATCACCTCGGCCAGTCTAACCTATTACGAGCAGCAGGTAGCAGAAGCAGCTTTCATTTTTTGAATCATTAATGTTTGCTGTCATCCTAAAACGTATTATGCCCTTTTGCACATAATGACAGGACAGCGCAGTGGTTAATAAGGGCCTCTATCACTATAGCTACTCGGAGTCCCCAGTGTTTCACAGTTTAATGAAGGTGATGTACAATAAGGTTACCAAGATTGATAGAGACAATTCACATGACATGCACTCCACGAAGACTGTCATTCTTTACTGCCCCCCGCCCTACTCCCTTGTCCCTGTCCTCACTAATTTTTTCCCTAAGAAGTAAGAATTCTTTTTTCATTAATATAATTAATGTGGCCAAGTCCACTCTTTCTTCTCTCTCTTTAAAATTTACCATCAATGGCACAAAAACCTCCGAAAGGTTAATGGAGAATTATACTTAATTATGATGATTCATTATCATCAGTGCAGTTAAGCTAATTTATTGTCTGCTCCTTAACTAAGAGAAAAGTCTGTTGGGGTGAAAAAACGTACAATAATTAGCCTTTTGTGTTTAGTGACTGCTTTATCCTCTTAAATCTTATTATAAAATTAAGGCTACGGTTGGGAAATAGCTGTCATAGTTGCAAAGAGGCAGTAGAATGTGTCTCTGTAATTGCAATAAAGCTCACCTGTTACAGATGTATAGGGAAGCAGTAAATACCAACATGTCAGTTGAGGACAGTTACAGGGCTCGGACTGTTAAGTCTGGCATCATCCAAAGGCCAAATATAAATTAATAACAGGAACACCTGCTACCACTAATGTGTTTTAGATTATCAGGATAATGGCACATTCAGAAACCCTGATTTTATTAGCATGTCAACATTGGCAAGAGCACATGCACATTTTCAACCGTAACATAAGAGCAAAAACGAGAGAGAAAGAGAGGAAAGGAAAGAAGTGTGTGAGTTACAGCCCAGCAAAATGACAGAAATTGATCTGGTCTTTTTAATGGTTTTCAAAAGTTACTTACAAAATGCACGTTCCCGAAAGGGTGAAGGATTTTTGAACGAGCCATGCCTGGAGAAGGCAGTGAAGGAGAGAGACAGCAAGAAGTTGCTCACCAATCCGTAGGGCATTCCAGCATTCCAAAGCACGGTTCCTAAGTTGTGCTCTCCATGACAGGAACTTAAGCCAGTTGGAGAGCTCCTGTGTTTCCTACCCTCGTTTGATTTTGTTGTTGTTGTTGCTGTTTTTGTTGTTTATGCTTTTCTGGTTAAGGACTAGCCCTCAATGCAGTCCTAGGGGGTTTTTGCACCATTGAAAAAAGTTATCCCCTGGTCTCTGGATTGATGGTGCTGTGGAAGAGTTAACACCGTGTGTTTGTCCTCGGAGGATAAGCAATGTGGGCATGTATGGAGCCTGAGAAGTGTTACACCCATAACAGAATGAGAACATTGTACCAGAACAAAATCTTCTCCCCAGCCCGGCCCCCGCTTCCTTATAAACCTAGTCAAGTATACTGACTGCAACTTGGGGCTACCTCGGGTAATAAAAACGGAATGACCAATAAAATGATAAGGAAAGAGTTTAGGTGGAGGGGCTTGCCCTTTCTTTTTGCATTACCTGTGTGCCCTCAGTTTGGGATCTCACTGGGGCCTGGTGGTCTTAGGGAAGAATCACAGTCATCTTCAGGCTGCTCCTAGCCTCCCCGTACCAACTGCTGACTCCATTACCCAGTACCTACTTCTCAGCATGGTGCTTATGATCATGCTGCTGCATATGACCCATGTAATGTAGCCTGCCAGGGATGACAGGGGTGCTCGGGAAAAAAATCTGCATAAAACTTATTTTATTCAAAACCTAAATGTCAAGCGGGATCTTCAGCTTCATGCCCAACTGCTGCCTGGATGTGAGCAACTCCACAGCATCTCTCCTGACCTTGGAAGGTAGGGCCGTGAGGGTGCCACCTCAGAGTGTGTGCCTGCTGATTTAGACACCTTGGCTTGCAGGTGGATAAAGTCCTGGGGCTCTGGCATCCTCAGGCCCCCGCGGTAGGAAACTTCAGCAGGGTTCTTCACAGTATGCAGTGAGGAAATCAGCAGTCAGATGGCCAATTTGGGGTTAGAAGACCACTTCTTCAATCAGGTGGTTCACCTTTTTTCAAAAAGCCACAGTGTGGGACAACTGAAAGGCCACCCTACTCCATGCAAGGAAGTGGAAGACTATTCCAATCTGAAATAGCCTTGCTGACAAAGAGCTCAGCCATAGTATGGGCTATGTTAAACCTCTCAATAGATTGAAATCATGTAAAAACTCCAAAGAAGAAGAGTTCTTTTGAATTCACTTCAGCATAGTTTAAGAATACATAAATGATGAAAAATATATATATAATTGTGGAGTGCTATAGTGGTTTTTCCTTTGTAGATGTCAGGCAATCCCAATCATACTGCACACACACCCCAACACACATGACTTGCAACATAAACATAGGGAAAGATGTAAAGATCATATAGAAAAACATGACTTTTGTCTCTATCTCAAGGAACTTGTTTTTGACCTGTTCAAGATGATGTGCTAAAGCTCATGAAAAGTCAAATTGAGAGTAAAAGATTAAAATAACAATTCAAGAGAACCATAGACAAGTAAAAAGGCTTGCGTCATTTGTTGCTAACGGAATTATGTGGATTGCAAAGGTTAAAAGGGGTGTAAATGGGTAAAGTTTTCCTGGTAGAGTTCTTATGCTTTTATTTTTCATTGAGTGATTGTTTATTTTGTTTCTATTATGTGGGATGGCAAATCCAAGGTAAAATCAAGTTTGTATCCTTCCCTCAAGAGATTATACTCAGGGTAGAGTAAACTTTTGCATATGTTTAACCAGAAAACAACTTGAAACTCAAACTCAAGCACTAACCATCAAAAAAGGTACAGATTCAGTTGATTGCTAACTGGAAGAATCAGAGAGGGCTTCATGGAAACATGGCACTTACCATGAATTTGGAGGCAGAATTTTGGATGGAATAGATCAGGCACAGTATCCTTTTAGAGCAAAGTAAGTAAAGGAATTTAGGATTTTTTTTTTTTTTTTCTGGTGACTAAAACCCTGGAAACCAGCTTTGGTGGTGTGGTTGAATTAGCCAGGCTTAATTCCTATCACATGCTATTGCAGTTTAATAAATTCCTGCAGTTAATGAAAGCTTTTTTCCCCCCTGCCTCCTACAGTGTGCCGCTCTGGTTGGTGAAGACCAGCCTCTTTGCCCAGATCTTCCTGAACTTGACCTTTCTGAACTAGACGTGAACGACTTGGATACAGACAGCTTTCTGGGTGGACTCAAGTGGTGCAGTGACCAATCAGAAATAATATCCAATCAGTACAACAATGAGCCTTCAAACATATTTGAGGTAAGGGCGTCCCTTGGTCAAAATTAATTTCTCATCGAACTTGGCTTGGGCCACAATATGATTATTGGCCTGAGAGCATAATGCATTCTTACTTTGCTGTCATCAAAAGACTTTTTATCACAGGTAGGCACTTCCAATTTTGTGGAAAAGCAATGTTTGCAAAATAAATGGATTTTGTTGTTGTTGTTTTGAGAATTAAGGGGCTAAGGGCCCCCAATAGAGTGTATTAAACTGTGTTGAAATACTAAGAGGGTTGTGAAAGAATTAGTGACAAAGAAGAACAAAAGTCTAAACCTGTTTATTCCTGTCTATTTCCCACAGAAAAGGGCCTAATGTAAATTAATGTGAAATGTAAAATAATGCGTTTTTTTAATCCAAGAGAGTAGATGTTTACCTTTATTTGCCTCACAAAGTAAGTGAGCAGTTATTCTTATTGTTATTTTGTGATCATACCTCTGATTTCTGTCTGTCATAGAAACTTCTAAACCCAGCTACTCTAATATTTACTTATAAATTAGTAAAAATTCGCTTACCTTTCAATAGTGAAAATTACTTCCCAGGCTCCAGACTCTTATTATAAGCCTACCCTATAATAAGGAATGTTAATCTACTCCTATTAAAGTGTTACTTTGAAAAAAAGTTCTTTCTCACAAGATCAGCACTCATTTACTTGAAAATAAGCGGTTTCTTGTAGGGACAGACATCGAGTGCTCTGGCAAACGAATTGAATAAAGATCGTCAAATCAACTACTTTTCAATATCACAGCCACGCACACCTCTGTCATCATCTGACTTCTTCTCCCTAACATGTGCCAGGCTCCATGCAAAGCCCTTGGAGTGTATTTTTTAATCCCACCAGCAGAGACATTTCTTAAACCTCAGTGTATTTGGTTGAAATCTTGAGTCATTAAGAAAGCCAATTTTACAATATTTATTGAGTTTTTCCAGCACCCAGCACATAAAAGCCACTGAATAAATGTTTATTGAGTCATTAAGAAAACCAATTTTACAATATTTACCGGGTTTTTTCAGCACCCAGCACACAGAAGGTGTTGAATAAATGTGTGTTGACTAATGAGTGAATAGTGACTATAGTAGTATTAATAACAATAATAATGAATGATAACAACAGTGGCCACCATTTGGAGAGCCCCGGGCTCTATATGTGTCTTCTCACAGTTCCCTCAAAACAGCCTATTTTTTAGGTACCCTGAGTGTCATTCCCACTTTGCCTATGCAGACATGGAGTCTCAGGTTAAGTGATTTTCTCCAGGGCACACAGTTGACAAATGAAGACCAGAGAATTGAATCCCAAATTGATCTGACTTTCCAGTCTGTATCACTGATAAAAAAAACAGAGTAACAGTGAGGTTGGGTGACCACCATCCTTTACAAAGACGTACCAAGCCGCCGCTTTGCTGAATGTATTTAAAGATAGAATGGACTCGTGCCTTTCAGTGTTGGTTGACATGGAAGCCGGGATCACTGGTGGGGTGGGGGGAGCTGGGGTGGCTGTAGGTTCTGGCCACAGCTAAGATTTTCTAAGATGTCTGAACAGAGTCTTAAAAGAGCGCTCAAGGCGGGGGAGTCGGGGCTGCGGAGAAGGAGCCCTGAAGGACTGTGGTTTAGTTACACTTCCCAGGCTTCTCAGCCGGGTCTTAGAAAGTTCATGTGAGGACTTGGCTAGTTAGAACTGGTAAATTGAACATTCCTCATTCAGTACGCTTGTCAGGCGACAGGCCCGTTTAAGTCATGCTGCATTAAATAAACAGTACTTTAAAAAATGTCATCTCTGTGGGCCTCTTATCTAAAAATCGGCTATTCCATGTTGGGTGATTGCCATGCATTTTGCAGATGACGGGTAGGGAATTACTAATTGGTTGGTGGTGGGGGGGAGGGTTGGTCAGTGCCTCCCTGGTGGGCTAGTTTCAAAAACTCCCTTCTTCATGACCTTGTGTCCCCATGTTTCGGTGTTGTGGCCCCTGCGTGGGGTACTTCTCATTTACACCTCTAGGAGACTTGGTTCACCAGCTAGTTATGTATAGATGCTTTAATCTGTACGAAGACACCCCTTTTGCTTCCCCGTATCACTTTCTACCACTGATAGAATTGTTTTCAGTGCTCTAAAACACAAGGTTCATTTAATTTAATTTCTCATTAGCTCATTTTAAACCAGTGACTCTCAACTCAGAGCAGTTTTGCCCCCCAAGGGACGTGTAGCAGTGTCTGGAGATGGGTTTGATGTTTAGGACTGAAGGCAAGAGGCTGCTCCTGGCATTTCGTGGGTGGAGACCAGGGTTGTTGCTAACTAACCCACAGGGCCCGGGACAGCTTCCCACAACAAAGAACTGTTCGGCTCTAAAATGACAGTAGTGCTGAGGTTGAGAATCCCTAAAAAAAAAGTCACTGAAATTCCCTTTTATGAAACACCGAAGATGGACTGATCAGCTTTGAGAGAGAAGATAGAGTATTGTTAAGAGACAGGATATGAAGAATCAGAAGCCACAGAGAATTATGGGGCTGCCCAGGGCCCTGGGACTGAGATGTCAGGAACTCTCTTAGTGACAGTGAAAGTGACCGTTGAGATAACCTGTAAGAGTTTTCTCTGATGTCACAAACCTCATTCTTCTTTGTCTGTGCAAAGGGTAAGGCCGTATGTGGCAATCCTGTGACAGGGCAGCGGCTTCCCGAGCATTTGCATACAGCCAAGATGCTTCTACTCTTTGCCCTCTAGCGTTAAACTCAGACATCTCTTTTATAATGGGAGAAAAAAAAAAAAGTGTGTGTGGAGCATACACTTTGAAAATTGTCTCTCCCTGGGAGAGAGGTCCACGGGCAGCTCAGTAACCCTTGATGGGCCACAGCTTTGTGGTGCTTCCTCCAAAGCTGCCTTCCCCCCGACCCCACCCCCCACCCCCAAAGCCCTTCCAAGAGCCTGTGCCTTTAAGCCTCTCCCCGTGGACTTTACCCGTGCTCACTTTCTTCCAGTTCTCAAAGCCCTGCCTCATCACATTTGTGAAGGCTTTGTACTTGAGCAAGCCAAACAATCATGGTTTCCGCCACCTCTGATCTGCCAGTAACAAGCATGATCTACCTCTGATTCCCAGAATGAAATGAGGCCCCAAGCGGTTCAACACTTTCCCTGACTCCAGTAGCACATTGATGACACCCCTGGAAACTGGCCACAGGATTTCTGAATTCTAATCAAAGCAGAGAGAAATGGGTGTTTAGAGATACAGATAGGATATAGGTAGTCTATGGATAGTAGAGCCGAATTTTAAAATCTTGGGAGTAAATAGAAATTTCTGCCTTGGGCCGCTTTCGTAAATTTGAATCTAAGTTTAATTTTTATTTGACTTTATTTTTTTTAAGATTTATTTATTTATTTTAGAGAGAGCGAGAGAGCACACGAGCAGGGGGAGGGGCAGAGGGAGAGGGAGAGAATCCCAAGCAGACTCCCCGTTGAGCGCGGAGCCTGACGCGGCGATCCATCTCACCATCCCAAGATCATGACCTGAGCCGAAATCAAGAGCCAGCCGCTTCACTGACTGAGCCACCCAGGCACCCCTGTTTTTATTTGACTTTAAGAGAAAAGAAGAACGTAATTGAATGGCCCACTTCGGGAAAGAGTGAATTCCTCAGTTGGGAGCGAGGGGTGCCAATATCCAATTGTCCACGTTGGTTGAGAAACTGGACACACAAACACCAATCTCTGTTTGCACAACCTGTGTTGGACGTGTAAATGCAGGTGACCAGGTTTTATTCAGAAGCCACGTAGAAAAACAGGACACAGGCTTTTATAGGTGCAGCCTCCAGTGAATCTGATCCATGTGTCAGGAAAACAGGATGCTGTCTCTGAGCTGGTTGGTAGCAAGATTTATGTTTCAGAATATTGCAACATAACTTCCTTCCCTCTCTTGCCTTTGTGCATTGTTTGAAGAAGGAGAATAAAGGAGTGCTTTTACAGCATGGCAGTATATAAAGATGGGTGGCCTGGGATTAGTTTAAATAGCACACTGGCCCTTCTGGTCACTGTGGGCCACCTTGTCCCTGCTTCATTTAGACATCTGCTTTCGATGCCTCCTTGACACACCTGAATGAGCATCTTCCATTCATTTGTCTGTTACTTCTGAATGCAGCCACTGGGGTTCTTTAGGACACGGCAAGTGAGAATGTTGTTGTCTCTAGGTCATGACTCATAATATGTTCTGAAGTCTGCCTTTGCTAATGGAGAGAGAAGCACCCACAGCTGCAGCCAACATTCAGATCAAGTGATCACGGGGATGCTCAGTAAGGTCTGATACTGTGGACTTCTGTGGGAGACAAAGCGCGGGGTGGTGTCCCGTTATCTGTCTATCATGCCAACAAGGGGATGGTGGTTGGAAGCTTTCAAGAATACCTGGTTATTCTGATGGGAATGCAAGTGAGTTGATATTTCTTCGTGTGACTTTCAGTTGTAGTCTCATTTTTTTTTTTTCTAAAATGGGCATATATTACGTACTTATCAAAAAGTTTCCAAAAACTTGGCTATTCAAATGACTGTGAGCATTTGGGGAGCAGGACCTTGCTGGTCTTGTTCACTGAAGTTTTTCTAGGTAGTTTGTTAGAAAACAACAGAAAGTAAGTACTCAAAAAATATTTGGGACTAAAGGAATGAATTGACCATCGCATATTTAGTGATGACGTGAGCTACATTAGGTAATATATAATTACATATAAAGCACAAAGGATCTGCTTCCTAAAGAACCCTAAACCTAGTTTGAGAGGTCAAGTGAAGAAGTGTGAAACAATTAGCAAACAATGGAAGACTACGTATACATGTGTACATATATAGATGTTTATTAGCAATTGAAAATAATCTAACACTGTATATTCATGTATATGTGTACGTGTATATTTAGAGACATGGAGTTATATATATTATATATATATATTAGCAATTGCAAGACTGTGTGTATGCATATATACATGTGTGTGTATGTGCATGTGTATCCTCGCTA